ACTCTTGGCTCGTACTTTCTGAGCCAAGGTAATCCCAGGATGACATCAAATTTGTCATCCCGATCCAGAACGATGAATTCATCATCGTACTGTTCGCCCTTTAACGTGTAGTGGATTCCTACTACACGTTTCTCAACGGTTATCGATGCGCCTGTTGCAAGGCGCACCGTCATCCTCGTTAGGGGAATGTCGCGCTCAACGAGCTTGAGCCTACGACCCTCTAGCGACTGGCTACGAACAAAGTTGTTCGACGCCCCACAGTCTACTAGAGCACGAAGCGACAAATCATTTGTCGCTTCCAACTTCAAGGTGATGAGCGAAACGTCATCACCAGGTGCAGAGACACACAATGATTGTGTATCTGGAGCAACTTTCGTCAAGAGATTTGTAAATTCTCTTGAGGTTGCTGGATCAGTAGGGCGCTCCGCCCCTACTGACCCCGACCATTTTTTGATGGTCCGTCTCGCTGTTGCAGCTTCGCATCAGCGCTGGACCCACGACCGTTGCCCTTTCTGGCAAATGGTCGTCCATTTCGCTCAGTACTGTTTGGTACTGGGCGTGGAGCACTACACTCATATGCGTAGTGCCCTAACTTCTGACAGCGATTGCACTTCTGCAATCGCTTGTTGTTTGAAGAGCGAGGTCTCTCGCTCTCAACATAGCAGAGGTACATTGGTTCTGGACCTCCGATCTCTTGTCGTCTTGGTGGACGATAAAAGTTTGAGCTAGCATGAGCCTGTCTCATGCTAAAGTCTTCCTGTTCCGCGGCTGATATCGCTTCTTCAAGCGTATTCAGCTCAAGGCGGAACAGGTGGCTCCTGACGGGCCTCTCTGCGAGCCCTTGCATGAACACCGTAATCAACGTGTGTTCATGGAATGGATTAGCCGTTATACTACTCGCAAGGAGTCGTATATGTTGTGCGTAAGCGTGCACATCACGCTTACCCTGCTTGAGTTTCAGGAGCTCTGAACGAGCCCTGAACTCAGCCCGTGGCGGCTCAAACGTTTGTCTGAGCCGGGACTTGAAGTCATCTAGCGACCTAAACACATGTGGGTCGCTACTCTCGAGTCCCAGGGACCAAGTTTTGGCACGCCCTGCCAAGTGGGTCTGAGCAAATGTGAGTTCCATTTGCTCATCTTCGACGCGAAGAGCCCTTATAGCTCTGTCGAGTTCGATAAACCACAGTAACAGGAAGTCCTTCGGGACTCCACTGTACTTGGAGATGTCAACCTTCATGACCTCGGGACGACGCGCATGCGCCGTCCCGCCCACAGCAGCATCGGATTGCTGCTGTCTCAACAGCTCTGTCTGTTGAGCACCGAATTCTCTCAACTGCTCGGCCTGTTGAGAGCCTTGCTGGTGAAGCAAGGCTACTTTCTATTTTTTCGGCGAGAGTGTTCATTTTGGATGAACCTGGCGATAGCGGCATGTTGTTGGTCTCTGTCTAGAGACTCCAACATGGCGCTAATGGCGAACTCACCTACGGTAGAACTCATTCGTTCTACCGCACTCCATTCGATATCACTCAAACGGGTAAACCCTTCACGCGTGGCGTGAAAGGTCTCTTGATCATCCAACATGTTCATGATGGATATTGTGGTTGTGGTCGCTGGAAGGACTACAAATGGCTACCAGGTGTAACGGGGCACACCCTTGCGTGAACTTAATGCAAGGGCTTTTGTGCGCCTGACAGACATACACGAGGCAAACGAGGAAGCGTAGATAAGGGAAAAGTAGAACTGTTGTATCAATATAATTAAGTCTTTTAACTACTGTCTCTCTGTTTGACTTAGCTTAACTATACTAATCTAACTGAGTGTATGGTGACGTCTCGTCACCACTCATTGCGCGCGTCTTGCGGCGATTGGTGGGTTGATATCATCAAGATATCAACCAATGAGCAGACCCTTTGGTCGACCCATCAATATCACCACTATTGATGATATTGTTAAAAGAATATTTAACATAATATTATTTATTGTCATTATCTCTCAAATGACAATTTCCATGTAACGGGCTGCCCCTTTACAGTCAGCGATGGCGTAAAATGACAACTGAATGATCACTTACGTTCATTACATCGTGCTTGATTGTCGTGAACACATTCAAATTCGCAGAGAGAATATCAACTTCGTATAAACTTAGTGGAAAATGTCGTGGAACTAATCTGGTCATGACAATTCATTTAGGCTCCCACTTATCCTCATGACGACTGTTTTTATAGATCCGCTACGCTCTTAAATTGTGCAACAACGCTGTATCCGCATCTCTAGGCCATCTTGGCGGAAGATATATCGTCACGCTTCGTGCTACGATGAACTATGTACAGAAAATATCGTTGACAATATGTCATGAAGGTGGTGAGGTTGAAATGTGGGACCTGTTATGGATAAGTTACGATCTCACCCAAATGAATGGTAAGTGACATCTGGATACGACGAGAAAATACGGTCGTTCTATCGGATAATCAAGATGCCGTGGCATGTGGGACAAGAAGCTACGGACGCCACGTGGGACCGCATCTGCTGACGGAGGAGTTCACGCACGCCATGTGCGTCTTCATCTGGTCTGTAGCGAAGCCAATGCAGCTACTAGTCGGAAAAATGCGCTAGGCGCAGAGAGCAACTTGTTACGAGCAAGGACAACGACTATACGAGTCTTTTCGTGCAGTGAATCACGACTGGATGTGTCAAGTATTTCGTAGAACAATGACTGTGCGAGTCAACAGAGCTCATAAAGCTACAAGTCCTGATTCAAGGGGATCCAGAGATTCTGTGAATCCACTTCCCGAGGTGCGAGAGTCATTGCCTTAACAAGGCTTACAAACGCCGATAACTATCAAGACGTCTTAAGAACGCACGTGTTGCTATGACTGATCAAAATGAGACCTGATGTTTATTTATGAATATAAAGCGGGGTCAAATCTTCTTCTGATTACTAAAGTACTCCAGTACACTGACCTTTATAGGCGGCACATGTGCGGAATATTTTGTCGGGCTACTGCATTGATCGTGAGTGGTCGAAGAGATGGCGAGATAAGTCAGCTTCGCACTCATTGACCGTGCATGTATTCTCGCCAATAAGCTGGTCTTAATTAACCAATTGTAGATTGTGCGTAAAAGTCATCTTTGCAGCATGAGATACGAAAAACATGGTCAGCAAAACAATATGTGCTGCGCGATGCCGTCAGACAATTGATTGGAGGGGTATAGAACATGGACGTCAGCTTAGCTTCATACTTTTTGCATGGCACATCACTTTGCTAATTTATCGCACGGAGCAACGATGATTACATGATGAACGCCCGTGCGTACGCATTGTAGAGGAACTTAGACTCCTCATGACCTGTTCGGCTTACGTTTCCTAAGTCTTATGGCAATCACATCGAGCATGACATATGAAAGAAAGTGCTTGTTTCTTCAGCTTCAAAAACACGACCTGGCGTGTTTCACGCAGGCAGCCAGCGTTGTTGAGCATGTTCGTACCAAAACTTTACTTACCTTGGTCTGGCATCAAATGGTGGTGCCCGCGTTCGTGTGGAAATATGCGAGTTTTTGTCCCTACCGATGGAATCTATCGTAGTGTTGACGACAAAGCCGGCCATCTTGATGCCAAATGGATGACACATGAGCAAGGTTTCGACCGAGTTTTATATCCCAGCTTGGCAATATGGCTGTCCGCGTGAAAGAATGACAAAGTTTAGCAATTCGGATAGCGCTACTTACAGGACTGATGAATCAATGTTTGGTGGTATAAAACGCTTCGCAGGTTGATGAACGTCGCGGTGAGAGTGCAGAGGGGTGTGACGAAAGGACGTTGGTTTAAAAGATGTGCATGACAGCATGTGAGTAGTACATTTTTGATCAGCCCTCAGTGACAGGTGTGTTGGTCAAAGGGTTAAGTGTAGTGTCGATTTCATAATCGACACTGATTGTGAAACGATTGTGGAACGTTTTGGCAATGTTAAGCAGAATGTAGTTCGTGGTTGTAAATGGCGACGACGACCATGGCATATTCTGCTTTAAAGAGTGGCACAGGGCTTACGCTTCATCGATCGTTCTTGCGTATTCCGATGCATATGTAGCTTCACTTTTGGTGTGGGATATCAATCAAGAATGAAGGGTCAGCGCGTCGCATATACAACAACACAAGATCGATCATATTGAGGCCGAGGAGCAAAATGTCATCTGCTCCAACAACTCAACGGTGGCAACCCAGGTGGCTTTCATGTCACCAGGAAGAAGTGCTGAATAGGCCATGCTGCAATACCGTCGTGCTGGCACATGATTATCGACCGTCAGTACTTTATACGTTTAAGAAAGGTGGATAGGGTCTGCGATCGACCTAAGCAAGGACTGCTATCGGTACTTTGAGCATCCGTCTTACCACTCTGACACTTGTAAATGCGCTACTGCACCTGCACTTTTAAGCAGGTTATATATGATTCGCCGAGCTTGGAGTCGTATGTCCTGTAGGACCGACGCGTGCCGGAGAAAGAGACAACATGCAAGTTGTGATCAAGTTTTGTCGAAAACTAGGGCACAACCTTTTCGTTACCTGCTGACTTTTCGTCGAGAGTCGAGTTGCCAGCGTGGAGATCCAATACTTTTGCAGAGTACGAAAGCAGCTTCCCCAAAATAGCGCTGCTTCGGTAGATAAATCGTTAGAATGTATGCGAGAGCTGCCGAAGCCGTGAGTGCTAGCAAAGAACTTGCATTCGAAACGACTCCTCAGGCAGCACAGCAAACAGAATGGTTATGTAGACACACAGGATCGAAACAGGCGTGCCTGTGTAGCATAACGGTGGAGAGAACACTGACGAAAAACGCCTCGATCAACCATATTCAGCTAGCGACGATTGGTGTATTTCGCACGAACTTCGTGTCCACTCAAACCCTCGTCTACCCGCAAACAACCTCATTCGATTCATGACAGAGATCCTTCACGCCAAAGCTTTTCCGCACGTCTGCCTTCTTTTGCCAGTCGGCTTACGTTGCGATTAAAAGTTTTCATGATGGAAAAACTTGTTAATCATGTGATACGAAACGGCAGGTTGGTCCATTGGTACCATGTGGCCCGAGTTGAAGACACGAATGAACGTCAAGTTCTCAAACGAACGAACACGTCCTGCGTCCGGGACCTCCGATGTGCCGAACTGGCGGTTTGCAGCATTGTTAAAGGCCGCTTTTCCGCTCCAGTCGAGCGCCATCACCCACGCTTGATTGCCCACCCAGTTGCACATGAGATCAGCATCTCCAGCGTAAAGCAAGACTCTTACGCCTGCATCGAGAAGCAGTTTTACGTCGTCAGCTGAAGACAGCATTTCACCAAGCGCAAACCTAGCATTAACCGTCGCATCGCACTCGCGCCAGGGTTTCGACTTTTGTACGTCGACACCCAGCTCTGCCAGCACGTGAGGGGAGTTCAAGTACTCTTCAATGTGCTCGAAATCAACACACGTCATCACATCCTCTGCAACGCACGGCTTGCGAATATCGTAGGGGTTCCGTCCGGACTGGTAGTACGGCTGTTCCAGCGTCGCAAAGCAAAACTCCGAGGCCTCAGCACACATTTCACGGTCCTTTTGGCACTTTAAAATGAGCTCGTGGCACACTGGCTGCGCTTTGCGCATGTCTTCAATCGCTCTTTCGGTCAGCAGCGTCACATTGTACGAGTTCACGGCCATGTCCACACTGTGCTGGTATTGCACGGCCGGGTCCGTCAGTCCGTTGCCAATGGCAACACCTGCTACATTGATATGACTCGCGCCCGGATGCACGTGCCGGAGCGCGTTGGCTTTTAGTATGTAGCGAGCCGCTGCAGGCACAAAGTGTCCACCGTAGCTCTCACCCGTGACAAAAAACGCCCGGTCTTTCAACTCGGGGTGTTTCTCAAGAAACACCTGTATGAACCAGTAGATGTTTGCCGCTACGTCGTCTTCGACGTCCGTGATCTGGTCGGAGCCGTACGAGAACCCGACCCCTGTTGGCTGGTCGAGCCAAATCACATTGGCGTGATTGGTCCAGGCGTAGGGGTTGGGTTTCATCGACCGGTCCGAGTGGACGTAGCAGGGCCCGTTTTCCGTCAGAAGAGCCGTCAAACTGGAGCAACCAGGTCCGCCTGTGAGCCACAACACCAGTGGGTCCGTTGCGGGGGCCGTCTGCGACTCGACGAACCAATAGAAATAGTGGTCGGCCGCTCGATTCGGCAGTTTTATGTACCCCGTCTCGTGCGTCGGGAGGCTGCAGAACGTCTCGTCAAACTTGATCGTGCCCTTGAGGCTCGTCACACTTGATACCGGCCACGTCTCGTGCACGACCAGCGCGAACAAGAGCGTGAGGCCCACGACTGTAAATAGTAAGAATTGCGCGATGTTCGGCCGGAGAGCGAGCGAGCGACGGCGCAGGCGCGTGGCTCCCTCCAGCACCAGCGGCGTCATCTCGCACGTCTGTGGCATTCCGGTGATAAAATGAGAGAGGTCCGTCGGTTTGTATCAGATTTTCAATGGGAGGCAATCTTTTTCGAGCCGGCTTGTTTGCGGCGGGCGAGGGGCTTTCTCTAAATTGATAGGGTACATCGTACCACGACAAAAATAAACACGCCGACGCAACGAAACGGACGGACGGAAAAGATCGTTGCACGGTGATTGGTCGAAATAGGTGCACGAGTTTGGCTCCACGGTATTCACCAAGAGCGAAGTACGGAAGGAACTTAAGAGACTCAGAAAAGAACTTTTTGTAGAGGTTTTGTAGGCAGTGGTGACAGACCCGTCGCAAAAAAGCTGAGCCAAATTGGATGGAGCGGTTGGCATCACTGGACACAAGTGTACATATTGTCGACGAAAGCCTTTGATGTATCTGATTGCCCATCGACTCGTATGTATGTGTTGTGAAGTGGGAAAGTTGTTGAAGCTTCCGTAGCATGTTAGCGGTTAAGGGTTTGGTTCCCACCAGAGTAACCGTTCTTGTAGTGATAGTATCGTAGCTGACGCGTACTTTTCAGCGTTGTGCATCGTTTCTTCACGGTTGGGTGTCCAAGAGCATGCTAGTGATAGCGTGCAGTGCTTGCTTCAGCTCTGTTCAGTCGTAGTCGTTGCGTGATGCGGGAATGATAACTGAATATGAATGAAACGCAGGAATTCCAGCGCTGTGTATACAATGCTTGGCTCTTTCTCGCAAGGACCGAAAGCGTCCAAGTTGCGCCAGGTTTCAAATGGAGTGCATGTGCTCCCATCCGTGATGGTCGTAGAGGCTGGTAGTAGGCCGAATGCGAGTGTATGGTGAGTCATAACTCAACATGTAGCGAACGTAATCGAGATCTTGACGACGCTCACGTGGAACCTGTCATCTGCCTTGATGCAACAATAGGAGCGAACAAGTGTGTAAGGGATGAGGTGTATTCGACTTGCAGAACGACGATGCGTTGCCTTGAACAACAAGGCCAAGAGGGCCCAGCTTTTCTACTATAATGACTGAAGAAGGTGACGAGCGCTGTGGTGGAAACACCAGTGAAAGCTCGAACAACGCGGCATGTTAACTGTAGTAGTACACTGGGCGAACGTCGCGCTGTCTCACGCTTAACGACAATACTTACATTGTCTAGCGATGCGAATACGGTGGCTGATCGAATCAACCTGTTGTTATGTAATCCGTCCACGCAGATACCAGCAGATGCCTTCGTTGCTGTTTCGAAGACAGCACTACTCTCTTCTTCGCACTAATGATCGACTTTTAGTACTAGGTACAGAGAGAGCCACGACCACGTTCGAAAAGACTTGCACTATGGCGATAGTTTCAACGAACTTTGATCGACAAGGAGAGGTTATATGATACACTGCATGCGTCAATACAGGACACTGTGATGGAAACTGTTGTGCCGAGATTTCTTGGCGAGTATACTCTGCAAGGCGTGCAGGATCTAGCAATCATCAGTCGCAATGTCATCTGCATGATTCTCACCTGGACAAACTGAACCCGTTCCTGCATCGATCCTTTGCTAACGCTGCCAGGGTGAGAACAGCTGAACTATCTAAGATGTCATGGCGGTTTTGCTCTACGTAGGCGTATGTAGCCTGCAGCCGTGCAACATCTATCTCCAGCGACAGGTGCAGTCTGCAGCACACCGCAATTACGCATCGACTCATTCAATCGAGTTGTGACGACGCATCGCGCATACAATCGTATCGTAGCGGCATCAGCTGCATCCTTGCACGTCTGCTTCGTATAACACAGGATATCGGGTATGGTTTGGTAATGTTAGTTTGGCATTGCCAAGAACCTCAGGACAAAACTTCGCAAAGTTGCGTCTCAGTGATCATCGCAAACATGTCTAGTAAGCCAAGAGTATCACAATCGCTACCTGCGCTTCGCAAAAGCATCGTCTTATACCCTCTTCGGGCTCAATAGTCTCGTGACATCGTATGCAAATACAGAGAGCGAAGCATGAAGGTATGACGCCTTTGTAGCGCCGGAGACGATGCAAAGCGCGATTGCAACATTTGACATACCCCCACAGCTATTCGTTAGACAACTGATTGTACCTGGTCGCCATTTACCGCTTCACACTCCTCTTAGCTGGTGACGTTGCCATCCATGCTACATAAACTTCCTGTTTTTGCAGGGACGTGACAACCCGTGTGACTCGTCGGCACTCCATGACAAGTTGTTGATCGTAGAACACCTGACACGCGTGCAGCGACAAAGTTCGTTGTTGCTACCTATCGGCCTTTGCCGATCGGCGTCTTGCCGAAATCAAGTCCCATCATATCCATCTGAGTGCAGATCCGCAACAGTTTCGACCACCAGTCACACGCTTCAGCCGACACATGCACAAGTGTTCTTGACGATGTGCAAGAGCTCCTTACGACGTGCAGAGCACAGCATACGCTTCAAGCTAAGACCAAGTTTCTAGCAGAGATTTGACACCAGAAGTACCACACGTGCGGCAAAGAAGCTGCGGCAGCATTAGCTCAGCCACCGCTACGGCGGCGAAGAACTCCTTTCCACCTCTCCGTTCCTGTGTGTTTCTTTTGTAGCGAGTACCTGGAGATCCATCTACAGTGAAGCAGGTAAAATGGCGCTTGCATTGCGCTTACAACCGTCAACACGCGACAATGTGTTGTCGGTGAACCGAAGACGTTTAGTCTCGCAAGATCTCGAGTAGATCTTGAGGGTGTCGAGATGCCGCTTTTTTCGTACCCGAATGTCGTTTGTGCTGGGTCCACAAGACTTTGTCACATCGGCGGCCACTGACAAAAGGCAGGAGGTCAAATATGCAACAACAAGCTGCTTGTACAAGAGAAGGCAAAGACCCAAGCGGATGTATACCATCTTGGCATAGTTGCTTGAGCCCCTTGCTTCACGTGATCCCTGCCTGGTCAATGCCGTTTACACAATGGTACAAAGTGAGCGGACAGGAGAAGATTGAGTGTGTGGTGGATGCATATCGTTACACGGACGATGGTCTCCAATGAATTAGAAGCGCAGAGCTAAGCATGAGGTATCTTCACAGCCAGGATGTTCGTGCAGGATGGAGTGTTTATTGGCTACTGTCGGCACGATATGTGCGATTCTGTCTGGTACAGTAGCAACTCGATAGGAACGAGAAGCACATGACGAAGAAGATGAAGACAAAGGAAAAGCACGAGAAGAACCGCTACTTTGGTTGTCATCGTCTTTCATTCTTAGGCTCTCTCTAACCTTTTTCTAACATGCACATACACAATGGCCATGCACACTCAATAGCTGCTGGCGTTGAAATGGTCAGCCGTCATGACCTTGGCCCAGGCCGATGCAAACACGCGCTTGAACAGGACCTCGTCATTGGCAAACTGCTCCACCAGCTTCTTGAGCTCGGGCGCCTCCAGCAGCGCTACGTCCGTTGCCATCATGTAATAGCTCTCGCCCTTGCCGTCAGCTCTGAACTCGTCTGCTCCCGTCCGACTCCACTGATGGGTCAACAGGATCTGGAAGTACTCGTTCGAGAACGTAGCCGAGTTCTGCGAGTACGAGCCGCTGTAGCCCAGGACCTTTTGCTGCGCCACGCTGCGCGGTCGTCCAGCCAACGCCACGGCTTCTGCCTGCGATACACCCAGAATCCTGATATTGTCGAGCACCTTGGCCACAACCGAAGGGTAGTTCTCACGCAGGGCTAGGCTTTCATCCCCCTCGCCACTCACACCGTCCGTGCGCCCCCCGAGAAAGTCGATCTTCACGTTGGTCTCTTCTTCCAGCGCAACTTGTCCAGCCAGCACAATCAGATCAGCAGTCGAAAGCGTCGCGTACTTTGTCTTAATCGGCTCGAGCGCAGCAATGATCTTGTCCACGCCAGCGTTCACAGGCCAGTCTTTCTGCGGCGCAAACCGAATCTTGGCCCCGTTGCAGCCTCCGGCGTAGTCGGTGATGCGGAACGTCGACGCACATTGCCACGCTACATGCACAAACAGAGCGCCGTTGTAGGGCGTCCCATCGCTGGCCCCGTCGCTCGGGAGACCGGTCACGGGTTTCCTGAGCAGCTCTCGAATGTCCAGCCGCACAGCATTGAAATCCGGTAACGTCGCAGGGGGCGGTGGCAGCGGGTGCTGAAACGGCTGGACAGGAGGAATGTCGTTGCCACGACAGCGAGCAACGGGGCCCATGTCACGCGACATGAGCTTGTACCAGGCGTTGGCAAAAGCTTCGTCCAGAGCTGCCGGGTCCGCAGCGAACTCGAGCGAAAGGGTGCGAAAGCTCTCGTCGTGCAGCAGTGCAATGTCGGATGTGAGCATCCGCACAGGCGGATTCGTGTCGGGAACAGGGCGCCACTGCACACGGCCTCCTGGGCTGACGACCTTCTCCCACTCGTAGGTGGTCAAGCTCCGGAAGTACTCGTTGCTCCACTTGGTCGGTGTCGACGTCCACGCACCTTCGAAGCCACTGGTGAACGTGTTGTTGCCCTTGCCCCGCATTGGGCCTTCGCCACAGGTTCCTTGCCACGGGTTCTCAGGGGCCTCGAGCGGGGACAACCCAGGACCAGTCGGGCACGGACCGTGTGTCTTGCCAATCGCGTGGCCCCCGCCAATGAGCGCCACGGTCTCGCGGTCGTTCATCCCCATGCGGCTGAACGTATTGCGCACGTCGCGAGCTGATCCCACCGGGTCGGGCTCGCCCATGGGCCCCTCGGGGTTCACAGAGATGGGGCCAACAATCGTCGGACCGAGTGGCTCGTTGCACTGGCCGTCCACAGCACACGGTGCAACCCGTTCCTGCCTGATCGACGGCCCCAGTTGCAAGCTGCTGGTCCCGTCGACGTCGTCGAGGCGACCGCCACAAAAGCCGACCACAGGGCCCCCGGCGCTCTTGATCGCGACGTCCCCCGACAAGACAATGAGGTCGCCCCAGGACAATGCGTCGCCGTACTTGGCCTTAATGGGCTCCAACAGCCGCAGCGCTTTGTCCAAATTCCTACTGTCCGGCCAGC